CATACATACATTACCATACATACATTACCATACATACATTACCATACATACATTACCATACATACATTACCATACATACATTACCATACATTACATTACATTAATACATACATACATACATACATACATACATACATACTTACATAATTACATTACATTACATTACATACATACATACATACATTACATACATACATTACATACATACATTACATACATACATTAATTACATACATACATACATACATACATACATTACCATACATTACCATACATTACATTACATTACATTAATACATACATACATACATACATACATACATACATACATACATACATACTTACATACTTACATAATTACATAATTACATTACATTACATTACATACATACATACATACATTACATACATACATTACATACATACATTACATACATACATTACATACATACATTAATTACATACATACATTAATTACATACATACATACATACATACATACATACATATATATATATACATACATATATGTATATATCGACATATATATATATATATACATACATATATGTATATATCGACATATATATATATATACATACATATAATTACAATGTAACAACATGTATGCATAGATTCTAGTAACTCCATATAAAGTATGTATATGCACTGCACAATATGGTGATTCCACTGCTTCTACTGCTCCCACCTTTGAAGCTTGACGACAAGCCCCTCCGCACCACGAAGCATCGCCAGGAAATCCCTGCGATCCTGGGAGCGAAACCGAACGGAACGGTTCCGACTGGTGGTTTTGTGGATGCTTTTCCAGGAAAACCTCCCTTTTTACAATCAAAAATGGGGCGTCCAGGATTTTCTTCGCAGGAAACCCCAGGTTTGACCAATTTTGGGAATGGTTTCGGAGCAGCTGGAAGGGCTGAAGCAAAATTATCCGGCTTCATGATGTCTCCAAATGTGACTGGGGATCTCATGCCATTTTATCCTGCAACATGAGGTCAGTCGACTGCTGATCCCCCAAAAAGTGATTTGGATGCTACTGTAATGTTACCTGGTACTGTGGATGGTTGCCAAATCCTGCACCAGTTGGTAGATGGTTTATCCCATTATATCCCATTATGGTCCCAGTGTTTCATAGTAACTCATGCAGGATTTCGCAACCATCCAACTATCATAGACTGAAACTGAAATCTTATGAGTGTACCACCATGTTGGTATGAAATCCCATTGAGATTCCATTCATATCCCATTTCCCACTAATATCCCACAACATCCCACAACTATCTTGCTAATATCCTACTATAAATACTATAGTAAGCTCAAAAAAAAATACATGGTGGTGTCCAATCCGTGGGGGTACCCCCAAAGCATCAATTTTTGGATAATTTTCCATTATAAACCATTCAGCGGGAGGAAACCTCCATGTAGTGGGCTCCCCAACTTCAACAGCCCAGTCCTTCATCCCCCCTGTCCCCGGGTCCCGTGGTTGGAATCTGGCCGATGCAAAGCCGCCGCCGCCGCGCTTGGTGACGCTGCCACGGAAAACGGCACCCTATTGGGGAACCCCGTCGAGCGGCATAGGGGGGGTGTCCAAAAAATATGGGGCATCTAAAATGGCTGTGAGAATGGGGCAAAGATGATGGGGCACGGGACTTTAGGGCATACTGAGACACACAAAGCCATAGTTGAGCTGCTTGAATGGGTCAAGTCATTGGAAGAAAATTGACCCGCGCTTCTTGGAGTCACACACCCTTTGCCAATCGCTAAGAGTAGCGCGTTCACACGCGGATTGGAGTCCGTTATTTTGATGAGTGAGTGGTATCACCTGCAGAAAATAGACTATCAACTGCTGGATTTTTCGGGAGTCTCAAATGTTGGGGTGTGTATCCATTCTTGGGTAAGTTCCATCGTTTGATGATGAACTCCCATGTTTTGACGGTTTATTGAATGTACAAATGAATTTGCAGGCATGTGGCGTATCCTGGTCTTGGCAAACAGGATTGGCGTATCCCAACAACCACGGAATTTATCATGAGCAAATCATCATTGTTCGCCAGTACTCCGCCACAACCTCAGGCTCTTTTTCTTCGCTGACTGAAAGGTACAGCTGGTGCATACCCAGATGGATTTCGTGTCACCTCGCTTTCTGCGCCGTCTTAGGGCATCTCGAGCAGCCGCTTGGGCCCCATAGGGCCGCAGGCTCCCCGCCCCCCCAACTCCTCCTGAATCTCTGGCACTCTTTCCCCGAAAAGATTGTACATCAGAAGGGCAAAGGAACACTCATCCAAGCGAGGGTCTGCTTGGAAGTGCCATTTCATACGTCCTCCATAAGGTTTCCATGCTGACACATTGAACATATCCGGGATTTCTCCAAACATTGTAGCAGGTTCATGGTAACAGCGTAGATAAAACGGGAAAGGGAATTTGGGAGTGAACTCGCCGATCTTCTTGGAAAGGCCGAAATCTGCAAGCTGAATGCCTTGGATTTGCGTAATTTTTGGGCAGAAAAATAAAGATATTACAGATTCCCCAATTGCGTTGTAGATTTCTTGGGAAAATTCAGAGATCATCTCAGATACCGGTGGGACATCCATCATCATCCGTGGCCTCAAACAAGACGTTGTCCGGTTTCAGGTCCCCATGTATATAGCCAGCCTTGTGCAAGCAGTCCAGACCACTACGGATGGCGTCGAAGACCGGTCGGAAACCTTGGTTTATCAGCATGAAAAGGGAGATCAGCCTATGGTCAGCCTATGGTCAGCCTTAAGGTTTAGAGGGACCATAGGGATCCACCATCTTTTGAGGCTGGCTTCGCCGAGA